CTTCCAAGCGAAAATATCTTTGTTGTCCCGAAGAAAGTTGGTGAGCGCGAGTTCCTATTTAGGGTCGAGATTTGCACTGATGATTGCCGTCTTCTCCGGATCACCAATCAGTAGGTCAATAGTGTTGGTAGCGGCTTCTTTTGGTGGTGCGAAGTTGCTTGGCTTCTTAGCCGGTATCTTAATCTCATCTGGGTTCATTTCGTTGGCCAGCATTGCAATCTCCTTTCCTTCCTTTATATCTTATAATCTTTTGGATATTTGTACTGCTTGTACGTCGCAATCATGTGCTTTCTTTAGATCTCCTTTCAATGATAATACGCCCTTTGCTGTTGGCATTTTGAACAGTAGGTATGGATAATGTGGTACTGCCATGTATTTTGTTAAAGCTGGTCTCCCAAGTATTGCGTGGTAGCATGATTCAAAGTCTGCAACTTTGAATTTGATGAATTTCGTCCGGTATTTGTCTGGTGTGCCAAAGGTAACAGGTAGGGTTATCTGTCCGAGGGGCATAGCTGCTCTGCCGGGTACTATTCCGTAGAATGGTGTGCTTGTGGGTGTAATTATCCCTTCACAATCTAGATTCATTCTTTTGAGAGTATCAGCGAAAATTATGTTAAGCCCGGCTCCTCCATCGATGAGTATTTTAGTTACTGCTACTCCTGCGATAGTCGGGCCCAATACCAGCGGGTAGCATCCTACGTTTGCTGCACTAGTCCATTGGTCTTCTCTTGTGAAGTGGATGGGGTACTCTGACCAATCTAGATATCTTGGGATGGCTGGTTCAGCTGCCATGATGGCTCTATGAGCTAGTTTTTCTTGTCTTTTGCTTCGTGTGTTAGGAACACCTGAAAATATCACTGCTAATTGGCGTTGGGGTTCTTGATAATCTCCTTTAGCTCTTTTTCCTCCTTGGATTCTTCTTGCTTTGGCTCCGAGTTGTTTTGATTCCTGTTTCCCCTCTTCATGAATTGCCGCTGAAAAGTGCTGCATTCAAGTAACTTGTGTCTAGCCCCTGGGTGTATGTGACATGGTATGTTTTCTATGTTTTCCGGCGCTCTTCCTCGGTAGTTGTTACTCTGATAGTTGCTATTACTGTTGTAATGCTGTTGTTACGGTTGTTGCTATTGTTGTAGTTGTCATTGTGTTTGCTACCATTGCTATCATTGCCGTTGCCATTGTATCTTCTTTTGTTGTCTGTGGTTGCCACCATATTGTCCTGCCTTGGTCTTTTGTCCTGCTGTATGTAATCGGGTCTTCTATTCTCTGGGTTATCCCTAGCAAATCTGTGTCGAGTTCTTTCTTCTGACGAAATTAGCTTCTCAACAAACCTCTTGAAGTCTTCATTTGTTCTTGGGTTCTCATTGAAATAGTCCTTGTATTGCCAGTTTGCCTAGATTCCTTCTGCAAAGGCCTCTATCACCTCCCTGTCAGTAATGTCGTGGACTTGAGCCCTGAATTCTCCAAATCTTCTATAGTATTTCCTTAGACTTTCTCCTCTCCTTTGCTTTACTCCTTTCAATTTGGTCATAGGTCATTGGATGGGTAATAATGCTCATGAAGTTGTTGCGTGAAAGCTTCTTGCAAGTCTTCCCAATACCTGATTGATCTTGGCCTCAATTTGTCAAACCATTGTAGCAGCATTGCTTCGAGGGCCATTGGGAAGAATAGAGCCTTGATGTCATCGTCTCCTCCAGCTAATTCAATAGATTGGGAGTAAACCCTTAGCCATTGTATTGGTTCGACTTTGCCATCATACTTGGAATGATTTGCTGGTTTAAACTTGTGCGGTAGCTTTAAAGTTTGTAGTCTCCCTGCAAAACAAGGGAATCTGTCGTATGGTTCCGTTCTTCCGTAATCTGGCGATCTTGCCCTTCTGTAATAAGACCTGTCTTCTTTTAACTCAGACTCTCTGTATTCATCTTCTTTGTCAAATCTTCTTGACATTTCTTGGTAGCGTTGGCTCAAGTCTGGTTTGTCTCTTTCTTGTTGCTTTGAGTAGTGTTCCTTCCTTCCATTGATATCAGCACTTTCTACTGGTCCTATCCTTTGAAAATTCGATTTTTTGGGCGGCTACTCCCTTTGTGGCTCCTGTGGAATTTCTTCGCCGGGTTATGTTTCAGATCCCCCGACTTCTTTCCTCTGGTCTTCCTTTGCTTTTTCCGTTATTCGTGAGGGTGTACAACTCCTTTGTTAATTCTTCAATTCTTTCCCTTTTTGTATTTTTTGTGGCTTCTTTTTCCGCCTTCTTTCTGTTGTATTCCGTTAACTCTGCTTTGTATTTATTCTAGACTTGCTTCCTTTGTTTAGCCCGGTTCCTCCTTCCAGCTTTCAATTTGTTCTTCTTTAGCCTTGCTAGTCTTTGCTCATCATTTTCATTGCTGTCGCTTTTCTCATCTGACGAGATGTTGCCTTCTGATTTGTCTGAAGATTTTATATCTGGTATCTGTGGTGGCTCCAAAGGTTGTTCTAACTGCTCCACCATGTATACAGTATACCTCTTCCGAGCTCTTCTTGTACGGTATTCCATCTTTCGTTTGGTTGAGTTGTCTGTAGCTTCTGAACTGGATCCGAGTTCTTTTCTCTCTTGATAAGGTAGTTCTTCAACGCGCATGCCAGTCTGGACTTTGCTTGAGGTGAAAGAACCTAGCCAATGCACCATACAATCTTGCGGGGTCACTGTCATGATCATCCCTTCTTGTGCTCCCTCCAGGAGTATTCTTCTTGCTGAGTTCATCTTGTTTTGGGTAAAGTGTTGATAGACTGATGCCGCGTTGCACAGTCCGTAAGTTCCCAAGTTCTTCTTTGAGTTGTACGGGTCATATCCCTTCACGATCGTCGTTGTGTCTCTGAGTCCAATTAAGCTTGGCTCTTGTGCTACGAAGATTGTCTTGGAATCGGGTTGTATCTCTTTTTCAGAGTCGGTTTCGTATCCGCTTTCTTACTTATTCCGAGTTGTATTCGAAGTTGAGAGTTTCATCATCTTCTCGGCGAGTTTGTATTGAACTTTGTCATCGAATTCTTTTTCTTCTCGGAGACGGGTACGAAGCTTGCCGTCATGCGTCCAATCGATTGCGATCCGGATCCGAAGACAAAGGTTGTTCCCACCGAAAAGGTCATCTTGAGGTTGAGGTCCGCCGAACTCTCGAGAAAAAATTTGTCGAAAGCCCCTACCTGGCGCGCCAGCTGTCGATGTTTTACCACCGATAGCCTGCCACGGGGGTACCCGGGACAGTTGTTCGGGCTTCGGCGAATAGCGGAATTCGGCGGTTACGCAAAGAGACCCACGATTTATACTGGTTCAGGCCCTCGACTTGGTCGAGTAACAACCTTACGTCCAGTTTTGGAATTAGCCTGTTTGCGTTGTATTGCTTTTAGTATCGGGTATGCGTTCTCCTTTTACAATGGATACCCTCATCAGCCCTTTATAGTCCAAGCGCTGAGAGGCATTGTTTGTGTCCTATTCGGATACAAGGTCAGAGTCCTAAGCTACGCTTCAGGCGCCTTTCCTTGTATAGTTTGCGTTGGAGTTTCGGTTTTGCACGATGCTTTGCTACGCGTTCTTCTTGACGATTGGGCTGTAGGCCTTGCTACCAGGGCCTACCTCCCTGCAGTATGGTCTATGGGGGGCCCGTAGGGTTCCCCATCGACATTAACTAACTAAAGACAAAATTGTATACTTTTCGAGACAGAGGTAGTAGTAATACCCAACAACAAAGAGAGAGGGACAAAAGGAGTGAATAGACATAGAAACACGGATATCCTCATGCCCATATTTGAAAGATACATATATGTTAATTCATCACTAAGTTCAAAATTCATATCAGCTATGTAAACATCGTAATTTTGTTGCCCGTGTAGGTAGTCGCTCACAAATAAGTGTTTGTTTGATGTGAACGTCGAGCGTTGATATGTAACTTGCTACGGTGGTAGCCGCTAACAGATAAATGTTGTTTTGAGATAATCTGAAATCAACCATTGTAAAACTTTGATTAAAAAATTACCTTGTACATGTTAGGTTTGATCATTTAAAATGATACGAGTATATTTGTTTGAAGCATAGTTTTTATTAAATATATTAAATTGTTGACTTTAGACAACTTTATTATATATATATATATATATATATATATATATATATGTTTGCCATGGTATTAGATATATTAAATATATTAATATGGAAATTCCTAGCCAGAGATTAAATTGTTGACTTTAGACAACTTTATTAAAACGTCACTAGTATGAAAACTTAGATTTTTTTACTTGCGCTGTGGCTCTATTTTCTTTCTTCAAAAATGCCCAGCGAGTCAAAATAAAGCAGCAACACTGCTGAGGACTATGCCTGTTCATTTGCTTGTAAACGATCGTAAATTTTTAGCTGGGAATAGTATTTTTCTCTCACATTAAACTAGTCAACAGTAAATAATCCATGATAAGATACGGCCTCCCGAATAGGCTGGGGGCACTGGCAGAGTGAGCCAGCAGCGACTACGACGCAACGAAGTGGACGTGCGGCGCAACAGCCCCGAAAAGGATCGGGGACGCAAAACACGCCACGCGAACAGGAACAGGCTCCCGGCGAGCGCGAGGCCATGCACGCAGCCCGGGGGCGCGGGATTTCCGCCGCCGCCGCTCGTGGCCCGTGTCCCGTCGCGAGGGTCGCGTCAATGCCGTTGCCGTTAAACGTCCCTGTCCTGTCGCGCTGCGTCGCCGCAGTCCCTCCCGTTCGCGTTCCGTCCAGGCATCCACCGCTACGGGACAAGTCTCCGTGCCCGCAGGCACACGCGGCGCGCACCACCGTCCGACGTGGAACCCGGCCCCACCTCCCCGCCCGTTGCCTCCCCTTTTAAACCCCGCACCGCCCGCCTACGCCCTCTCAGTCCACTCTACCCCCGCTGTTCCCCTCCAACGGTCACATTTCTCTCTCAGCGCACGCACACGGAAGAACCTTCCAAACGATCGGATCCCCCCAATCGATTAGCCTTTTCCCCGGCGGCGCCGCGATGGTGGCGGAGGGCGCGCGGCGGCGGGTGGTGGTGGAGGTGTGCAACGCGCGGAACCTGATGCCCAAGGACGGGCAGGGAACGGCGTGCGCCTACGCCGTCGTCGACTTCGACGGCCAGCGCCGGCGCACCGCCACGCGCCCGCGGGACCTCAACCCGCAGTGGGGGGAGCGCCTCGAGTTCCTGGTCCACGACCCGGACGCCATGGCCTCCGAGACGCTCGAGCTCAACCTCTACAACGACAAGAAGGCCACCGCCGCCGCCGGCAGCGGCCGCCGCGGAGGCACCTTCCTAGGTAAGGTCAAGGTGGCCGGCGCCTCCTTCACCAAGGCTGGGGACGAGGCGCTCGTCTACTACCCGCTCGAGAAGCGGAGCGTCTTCTCGCAGATCAAGGGCGAGATCGGCCTCAAGATCTGGTTCGTCGATGACCCGCCGCCGCCGCCGCCCGCTGCGGCGGAAGAGAAGGGCGCCGAAGCGGCTGCGGAGGACAAGAAGGAGGCGGCGGCGGCGGCGGCGGCGGCCGAGGGGAAGGATGACAAGGACAAGGCTCCAGATGCCGCCAGCGCAGCCGCACCGGCGGCGGCCGAGGAGAAGAAGCCGGAGGTGGCGCCCGCCGAGGAGAAGAAACCAGCGGAGGCCAAAGCGGAGGAGAAGAAACCCGAGTCCGCGGAGAAGAAGGACGACAAGGGCGGCAAGAAGAAGTCGCCGGAGAAGGGGAAGAAGGACGGTGACAAGCCCAAGGAGGAAGGGAAGGCTAAGGAGGAAGACAAGAAGGACGCGGCGGCCGCGCCGCCGCCTTCTCCATCCAAACTGCCGCCGCCGCCGCCCTCGCCGTCCAAGAAGGACCTGGCGATCGCCGGGGTGGCCGGCGACCTGGAGATCCGCCCCCAGAGCGCCGCCGAGAAGAGCATGGCCGCGTCGGGCGCCAGCGCGTCGTACGACCTGGTGGACCGCGTGCCGTACCTGTTCGTCCGCCTCCTCAAGGCCAAGCGCCACGGAGGCGGCGACGCCCAGCCACTCTACGCGCAGCTGTCCATCGGCACCCACGCCGTGCGCACGCGCGCCGCCACGGCCGCTGGCGAGTGGGACCTGGTGTTCGCCTTCCACAAGGACAGCCTCACCGACACCTCGCTCGAGGTCACCGTCCACGAGGAGGCCAAGAAGCCGGCCAAGGACGGGGACCCCGTTCCGCCGGACGCCAACCTGGGCTTCGTCTCTTTCGACCTCCAGGATGTCCCGAAGCGGTCGCCTCCGGACAGCGCGCTCGCGTCGCAGTGGTATACCCTCGACGGCCACGGCTCCGAGGATGGCGCCGCGGTCTGCGACGTCATGCTCGCCGTGTGGGTCGGCACGCAGGTCGACGAGGCGTTCCAGGAGGCGTGGCAATCGGACTCCGGCGGCTACCTGGTGCACACCCGCTCCAAGGCCTACCTCTCCCCGAAGCTCTGGTACCTCCGCCTCAGCGTCATCCAGGCGCAGGACCTGCGCTTGCCGTCCCCGCCGGACGCCAAGGCGAAGCAGTGCGGTCCCGTCTTCCCGGAGCTGTACGTCAAGGCGCAGCTCGGCGCCCAGGTGTTCAAGACCGGCCGCGTACCGCTCGGCAGCGCGGCAGCCGGGACGGCCAACCCAAGTTGGAACGAGGACCTGCTGTTCGTCGCCGCGGAGCCGTTCGACCCCTTCCTGACCGTTGTCGTGGAAGACGTGTTCTCCGGGCAGACTGTGGGCCAAGCCCGCGTGCCCCTATCGACGGTGCACAGGCGATCCGACGACCGGGTGGAGCCACCGTCCCGGTGGCTGAACCTGTGCGGCGACGAGGCCCGGCCGTACGCCGGGCGGGTGCACGTGCGCGTGTGCCTGGAGGGCGGGTACCACGTGCTGGACGAGGCGGCGAACGTGGCCAGCGACGTGCGCGCGGCGTCGAAGCAGCTGTCGAAGCCGCCGGTGGGGATGCTGGAGGTGGGCGTCCGCGGCGCCGCCAACCTGGTGCCGATGAAGATCGCCAAAGACGGCGCGAGCGGGTCGACGGACGCGTACGTGGTGCTCAAGTACGGGCCCAAGTGGGCGCGCACGCGCACCATCCTGGATCAGTTCAACCCGCGGTGGAACGAGCAGTACGCGTGGGACGTGTTCGACCCCTGCACCGTGCTCACCATCGCCGTCTTCGACAACGTCCGGTACAAGGCCGCCGGCGACGGCGGCGACCCGGGGAAGCTGCCCAGGGACTCCCGCATCGGTAAGCTCCGCATCCGGCTCTCCACGCTGGACACCAACCGGGTGTACGCCAACACCTTCGCGCTGACGGCGGTGCACCCGGTGGGCGTGCGCAAGATGGGCGAGCTGGAGCTGGCGATCCGGTTCACCTGCCCGTCGTGGCTGACGCTGATGCAGGCGTACGGCAGCCCGCTGCTGCCGCGGATGCACTACGTGAAGCCGCTGGGCCCCGCGCAGCAGGACGTGCTGCGTCACACGGCGATGCGCATCGTTTCGGGGCGGCTGGCGCGGTCGGAGCCGCCGCTGGGTCCGGAGGTGGTGCAGTACCTGCTGGACACGGACACGCACTCGTGGAGCATGCGGCGGAGCAAGGCCAACTGGTTCCGCGTCGTCGGGTGCCTGTCCCACGTGGCGACGGCAGTGCGGTGGGCGCACCGGGTCCGCACCTGGGCGCACCCGCCGACGACCGTGCTGGTGCACGCGCTGCTGGTGGCCGTGGTGCTGTGCCCGGAGATGATCCTGCCCACCGTGTGCCTGTACCTGTTCCTGGTGCTGCTGTGGCGGTACCGCGCGCGGGCGCGGCAGCCGACGGGGATGGACCCGCGGCTGTCCCACGTGGACAGCGTGAGCCCCGACGAGCTGGACGAGGAGTTCGATGGGCTCCCCTCGGCGCGCCCCGCCGACGTGGTCCGGATGCGGTACGACCGGCTGCGCGCCGTGGCCGGGCGCGCGCAGACGCTGCTGGGCGACGTGGCGGCGCAGGGTGAGCGCGTGGAGGCGCTGCTGTCGTGGCGGGACCCGCGCGCGACGGCGGTGTTCTCGGTGGTGTGCCTGCTGGCGGCGCTGGTGCTGTACGCGGTGCCCTTCAAGGTGCTGCTGCTGGGGATGGGGTTCTACTACCTCCGCCACCCCAGGTTCCGCGGCGACATGCCCTCCGCCGGCTTCAACTTCTTCCGCCGCCTGCCGTCGCTCTCCGACCGGATCCTCTAGATAGCATGCTGAAATTGCTCTCTACCTCTGCTACTTACTGATCGCTGATCAGTCGAGTTCGTTTTCTTGATCGTTTGCTGTAATCTGCTTGTGTCAGATTGCCTTGTTTTTTTATCGGTTGTTGCAGTCAGCAGCAAGCCTCGGCTGATGAGGCTTCCTGGTCGATGTTGGCAACATCAATAACAGTAATAATAATAATGTCTATTGTATTCATTCGTTCATATGATCAGGCGTCATCTCTGTTTTTGTGTTTACATGGATGGATGGATTTGATTGTGGGTGAAACTGAAATTGTTTAAGGCCGTATCGTCGGTGGGTGAAAAATTGACCGTTGCATCGCACCAGTCAAGAACACCGCTGCATTGAATTCCAGTCAGAAAAAAAATTCTTGCTCTACCAACAAGAGTACCTCGTTTGGTACAGTACTATGCAACTGATTTTGTTACATTCTTTCGTCTCCAGTCATGAATTCGTGTTGAAGATGACACATGGATGGTCCTAACTTGTACAGGATGTTTTCCCAATAGGATCAGAAACTATATGCTACAGCTTGCGATCTGGATCAAAGGGAAGGAGCAGAAATGAAAATGCAATTTCAATGGAACTTGCAGAGCATCTCAGTACAAGTGTAGAACATTTGAGGCTTCTGTGTGGTACTTGGAAGGGGTGATTTTCTCCGGATTCTTACAGGAAATTGAGCAGTTTTCCGTGATATCTACGCTTTAGAATTGAGCAACAAATGCCCTTTGTTAAACTAGTACAAGTAAGCACCTTAGTGCTTGTGCGGGGTCTGAGGGGTGTCAGTGGCAAGCCTTATCTTGACCGGTGCAATGCGAGGAGACCGCGACTCGAACCCTGGACCTCCGGTCACAACCAGTAAGCACCTTAGGAAGGATCTGGACTGGAACTGGACATCCAGCAGAATCTCTGAATCTGCATGAACATTGAACAAAGGGCACTGGCTCTGATTCCTCACGAGTCAGCACATGCATAATCAGAGCGTGCACTTTCTGAAACCGCCATGCTCACGACATACCTAAACACATACTGCAGGAGTATATACACATATAAAACTGCAAGACGCAGATCAATTCAGCTGATCAGAACGGGCGCACGCCACTTGCCACGCACTCGCATCGACCTGCGTGCCCGAGCGAGGCACCGTGATCGTGCGTGTCTCTGCAAAAAGCTCGCGAGCTTTTGTCAGGAGCCGAGTGCTCGCGGCTCTAGTCGGCAACGAGAGGGAGAGCTCATGTGATCATGTCCCTGTGAGGCTGTGACTGTGAGTGAGTCATCACAATTCACAGGGACTGGCAAGACGTGTCCATCTCTACTGCCAACACAAACACCGTCAGTTCAGGTAATATACTGTATGTATGTTGCTCACATGGCATCATCATCGATGTGGAAAGAAGGTAATAGTGGTCCGCCTTGCTCATCATCAAAGATTTAATTCAAAGCGTGGTGACTGGGGAGGCCATCGCCGGTTGAAAACCGAGTGGAGGTCAGATGGCTTGCTGCAAGCAGCTGGTGATGGGCCTGAAAATCCAACAGAGAAAAGATGCTTTGCTGAAAATAATCTACTGCTACAACACTTGTGGCGTAGCGATCAGATTTCAGATCTGCCGTACGGGTGCGCATTGTACGCATACGGGAGGGAAAGGCAGGCTGCTTCACGTGAGCGAGGCTTTTGCTTCATATGGCAGACAGGATTCAGAAGCAGGAGATGATAAGAATTCAGATATCCTTGGACTGTTATATATGTCATCCTTGTAGTACTGCGTTCAGTAAGAGCTTTTATCGTTTCGGGACCGTGGGGAGTCATCTATCTGCTTGTTTCGTTTCATGAGTGTGAAGTCATCTATCTGCTTGTTTCGTTTCATGAGTGTGGGGGTTTCATCTCCCAGTTTTCAAGACATCTATATTTTGGAAACAGTGTAGAAGAGTTTCATCCCCATAAAACTCTCTCTACTCCTATGAAACTTTTATATTCTCTTTCTTCATCGAGACAGTGCCATGTCAGCGTATTTAATGTCCATAAAACTCTATGAAATTTCATTGAGACTGGCCTGACAGTCGCCAGAGTGAGAGTGCGTGCACGCACTGAAAATGATGGCAAAGGCACTGCCAGTGGCGACCCGCCTGATGGATCCTGGACACATGACACGAATCACGATTGGGCCCCCAGCGTGCAAGGGGGCTCTCGGCCTCGCCTTGCTCGTCTTTTGTGCAGCTCAGCTCAACGGCTGCTTTTCTAGTTTTCTGCCCTTTTTATGACTGGGTGGTCACGAACGTGTGTGTGGATTGTTTCTGGAGCAAAACCCATCTGCTGGTGCAATGGCACATGGCAATGCAGTGGCGGCGTGACGGCTATGCTCTGCAAATGGTCCAGCCGTCCAGGCCTCCAACTCCAACTCTCCAACCCAAGTGTCAAGTGACCATCAACCATATGAAACAATGGCAAATAGGCAGGACCAGACGGCCCTTAATGTGGCTGGATATATCAGCCATATGGACTACTGTAATGGCAAATATGTAGACGGCCCTTAATTTCGGATGGAGGAAACTGAATTTAAAAGTAAAGTTTGTCAATTGAAAGCACCACTTTGATAATTCAGAGACGAATTGAGTCTAAAATTAATCTTTAATTAAGAACTAAAATAATCACTTTGTTAGTTCAAAGACGAAATAAAGCATTGGACGACTGAATGATGAAAATGGGTATTCGACATTTAATTTGATGTATATGTTCATCCTCTGCCTCAGAGGTGATTCCGACGTTGTTGTGCTCGTCTGGCTCCCATTCGGAGCTTCAATGCCCGCTCGTCGGATACGATACGAACCAGGCCAATAAGACCTCGCTATCATGTCCTTGGTGGCCGTCGTCCAACCATGCTGCTTCTGCTCTGCACCATGAGCAAAGATGAAAACGGAACGGAAATATCCCGAACCGAACCGCGTCGTTTCCTATATTTAATCCGATCGAATCCGCATTTTCTTGTCCGACTTTACCGTTTTCGCTTTCGCATTTGAGATGTTTCGTATTTCAAATGTAAAAGTAGAAAACGGTTTACACATTTTTCGACCGTTTTCTACTTTTCTACTTTTAATTTGAAATATTCCGAATTCAAAATTCGGTTTAAACCGAATTTGGCCAACTTCACAGGTCATACAGCCCAATTACAGGCTGCTCACCACGCAGCTGCGTTCTTTCTACTGGTGGCTAGCTGCCCTCTCTTATAGACGGCGCCCAGCCTCATCTCTCTTATTATGTATTTGGCCGTGCACTTGTTTAATGCTATGCACTTGAACTATATTATGCACTTGTTAGTTGTGAACTTGTTATGTATTTGATCGTGCACTTGTTTAATGCTATGCACTGTGGGTCGGTATTTCGTATTGAATTTTCGCATACCGACCGTGTTCGACATAATTCCGCCCGAATTGGTTCGTTTCCAAAATTCTAGATATTCCGTAAGTTCGTGTTCGTTTTCGTGTCCGGCTTGTCCGCTTTCACTTTCGTATTTCAAATGTAAAAGTAGAAAACGGTTGAAGAGTTTTTCGACCGAGTTCGACCGTTTTCATCCTTAACCATGAGCGAGCAACGAACCCAAGCACCATGGCGATGGGCGATGGAGCATGCACGGCAGATGTTCTATTTCACCGCGTCCATGCGGATGATGGCCGGGAGGACGCAGTCATGTTGAAGGTAGATAGCCCGCGCCCTCTACTGCCGTCCAGCCAGCGGAAATCCTGCACCGCGCTGCCCAATCCAACATGCCCACCTTTCAACAACTATGCAGCACGTCTCCAAGTTAACGCTGCCATTGGGCTTCGGCATGCACTCGTGCACGGCAGCAGCCTTGCAGTCCACTCAGCTCCCAATTGTTCAGGACCCGAGAGACGTGCGGAGAGGACGCCCAAACAGACCATGTCGTCGTCGGCCGACAGCTCGCATAGCTCCGAGACGAGAGGGACCCAATAATTCGGGAGGAGGTCGGTGCTCCCATTTATCTGGTTGTTGGAATGCCGCCGCTCGCAACGTCGGCCGGCGTACCGCAGTCGGTGTTCGCCTCGTCTGGCGTGCTCCGCCGCATGCCGAGCAAGGCTTCCAAAGGTGCGCGACGTATGAGTACTCCGTCTCTTTCCCGGTGTTCCCCCGTCACTTGCGGCCCCACTGGAAATGGAATCACCTCGCCTCGCCGGAATCACCTCTTGATGGCTCGGCGGCGCGGCGGGAGGAGCAGAGCGTCACCTTGGGACTTGGGTGCCTGCGGCGGCGGGAGTAGGCGGCGAACGGTTCGGTTCTGCAGGGGTAAAACAGACCATTGGCACGGGTGATGGCTATTCTCTCTTGCACGCCGCCAGGTTCTCTGCTTCTCTGCTTGTGCTCTCCCTCGGATCGCCCCCTTCTGGATCAGCTGCTACCGCAGATGACCCAGGAGCCAGGAGGGTACATGGCCTTTCTTTTGATTCGTTCTTGTTTGCTTTTCCTCTGTTCTGCCTCCATTCACTTCATCTTGTCCTCTTCCCGAGCGCCTCTGCGTCCTAGAGGCTATGGCAATGGCAAGTACAGCGCTGAAGAAGCTCGCCACCGGACCGCCCGACGCCAGAAGCGAGGAGATCACCCGCCTCTGCTCCACTGGCCGCGTCAAGGAGGCTCTCCACCGCCGCTTCCGCGAGTGCCTGTGGTCGGAGCCTGGCCTCTTCTCCCACATCTTCCGGGCATGCCGCGCCCTCCCGCTCCTCCGCCAGCTCCACGCCTTCGCCGACACGTCCGGCGCCGCCGCCGCCGCCGCCGACCGGTTCACGGCGAACTACCTCCTCCTCGCCTACGCCGACCTGGGTGACTTCCGCACCGCGCGCGCTCTGTTCGACAGAATCCCTAAGCGGAACGTCTTGTCCTGGAACATCCTCATCGGGGTGTACGTCAAGAACGGTGACATGGAAACCGCGCGGAAGCTGTTCGAAGAAATGCGCGCGAGGAACGTCGCGACGTGGAATGCCATGGTCGCTGGGCTCACCAACTCGGGACTCAACGAGGAGAGCCTGGGGTTCTTCCTTGCCATGCGGAGGGAGGGAATGCAGCCTGATGAGTTTGGCCTCGGGAGCTTGTTCCGGTGTTGTGCCGGGCTCAGGGACGTTAAGTCCGGGCGGCAGGTCCACGCGTACGTTGTGCGGTCTGGACTGGACAGGGACATGTGCGTTGGGAGCTTGTTGGCACACATGTATATGCGGTGTGGTTTTCTTCAAGAAGGGGAGGCTGCTCTCCGAGCATTGCCTCTGCTTAGCATTGTGTCATGCAATACCATTATCGCTGGAAGAACACAGAATGGAGACTCAGAGGGAGCACTCGAGTATTTCTGCATGATGAGAGGTGCTGGTGTGGAAGCAAATGCAGTCACATTCGTCAGCGCCGTTAGTTCTTGCTCGGACTTGGCAGCTCTTGCGCAAGGTCAGCAGGTTCATGCACAGGCCATCAAAGCTGGAGTTGACAAGGTTGTGCCAGTCATGACATCTCTTGTGCATATGTATTCTCGATGCGGGTGCTTATGTGATTCAGAAAGGGTTTGCCTTGGGTATAGTGGTACAGATCTTGTCCTTTGCAGTGCGATGATCTCAGCTTATGGATTCCATGGGCATGGACAGAAGGCAGTTAGTCTGTTCAAACAGATGATAGCTGGCGGTGCAGAACCCAGTGAGGTTACTTTCTTGACCTTGCTATATGCATGCAGCCATAGTGGTCTTAAAGATGAAGGCATGAGTTGTTTTGTGCTTATGACTAATACTTATGGACTAAAACCAAGTGTTAAACACTACACTTGTATTGTAGATCTTCTTGGACGTTCAGGTTGCCTAAATGAGGCGGAGGACCTTATCCTGTCAATGCCTGTGCAACCTGATGGGGTCATATGGAAGACACTACTGTCTGCATGTAAGATCCATAAAAAACTTTGACATGGCCGAGAGGATAGCAGAACGTGTCATTGAACTGGACCCTTATGATTCTGCATCTTATGTTCTTCTATCAAATATTCGAGCTGCCAGCAGCAGATGGGAGGATGTCAGTAAGGTAAGAAAAACCATGAGGGAACAGAACGTGAGGAAAGAGCCTGGAGTTAGCTGGGTGGAGCTGAAGGGTCAGATTCACCAGTTCTGCACCGGAGATAAATCCCATTCAAGGCAAAGGGATATTGATGAATGCTTGGAAGAAATGATGACCAAGATCAGGCAATGTGGGTATGCACTGGACATGAGCATGGGTTTCCATGACATGGAGGATGAGGAGAAACAAGTTAGTTTAGCTCACCATAGTGAGAAGTTGGCTATAGCATTTGCTTTTCTGAGCTTACCTGAAGGAGTGCCTATTCGGGTTATGAAGAATCTACGTGTATGTGATGATTGCCAAGTGAAAAAAGATAGTATCTCCAATAGTTTGCCATTTGGGCTTGGCAAAATTAAAAAAGTAGGCCCACTTGCAAACCAGATCAACTATTTTTCACCGTGACTCCTCGCCTGGCCACGCGCCGCGACTCCTCGCCTGGCCGCACGACCTACTCCGCGTGGGCGTGAAGGGCGCCACCTCCACGGACTGACATCTCTTCCTCCGCCGCGCTGCGTCATCGCTGGTGGCCATCATCGATCTCCTACATCGAGCTAGGCACTCAACATCGCTGCATCATCCACCAAGCTAGGCGCCCATCTCCTCCAAGACCTCAAGGTGATCTTCCCCATCGGTTCAGTAGCTCATAGTTTTGCCGAAGTCTCTTTCTGTTTCTCGATATTGTAGTGGTGGCCATCATCGATATTCATATCTTCAGATTCAGTTTGTCGATATTGTATTGCAACACCTATATGCTTCTGTTTCTTGCAATGTACTGAGGAGGTCCCATCCGCCTCCAGGTGATCTAGGTTATTCATATTCCAGAACATTTGTCAGTCAAGAACGATGCCTAGGAAGAGATCCCTTCTTCGAAGACAGTTGGATGATTCATCATCCGATGATGATGATTTTGAGATATTAGCGGCTGCTGTAACTGTGGACACCGTTGCCAATGCGAAAAAAAACACGGTGGCTCTGTCCCAGGTCACAGAGTTCTTTAACGTGATAGAGAAGGCGGCCACGAGAGGATGTTTCAAGATTATTTGGCCGTAAATCCAACATACGGCCCTGAAATATTCTGTCGAAGGTTACTGTTCTTTCACTTCGGATTGACTTGTTGTCTGTGTTTAAATATTAGTCGAGTTGTTAAACTTTAGTTTAGTTTTGTTCAGGTACAGGATGTGTAGGGAGCTTTTCTTACGCATAATGAAAGCTGTTGAAGGACATGATGATTACTTTGTGCAGAAAAGGAACGCGGCCAATGTACTTGGTTTGAGTTGCTTCCAAAAAATCACTGCCGCAATACGTATGCTTAGCTATGGGGTTCCTGCGGATGCGACAGATGAGTACGTTCGCATTGGCGAAAGTACTGCACTTGAGAGCCTACGGAGGTTTGTTGATGCAGTTGATGAACTGTTTGGAGAAGAGTACCTCAGATATCCCAATGAGGCGGACACAACACGCTTACTTGCAATCGGTGAGCAAAAAGGCTTTCCAGGAATGTTAGGGTCTATAGATTGTATGCATTGGGCGTGGAAGAACTGTCCATACGAAAAACAGGGTCAGTAAAAGGGGCACGTGGAGAAGCCCACTATCATTTTGGAGGCTGTTGCCTCGAACGACCTTTGGATATGGCATGCCTTCTTTGGAATGCCCGGGTCTCATAATGACATCAATGTTCTTCATAGGTCTCCTTTGTTTGATAACTTGGCAGAAGGTAGAGCTCCAGAAGTGAACTTTTTGGTTAATGGCCATGATTACACAATGGGCTATTATCTTGCAGATGGCATATACCCCACATGGGCTACTTTAGTCAAGTCGATCACTCTTCCTATGGGGAACAAGAGCCAATATTTTGCCAGAGCGCAGGAAGCAGCGAGGAAGATGGTCGAGAGAGCTTTTGGGGTTCTTCAATCTAGGTTTGCCATTGTTTGAGGGCCAGCTCGCATTTGGGACATACAGACATTATCAAAGATCATGAGGGCTTGTGTGATCATGCACAACATGATTGTGGAAGATGAAGGATTTGTGGTTGACCCTAACGAGCGTTTTGATTACGGTGGTGAAAATGTAGAACCTGCTCATGGCCAACCTACTCGTACACTTGATGAATACATTGATGCACACAGAAGGATCAGAGACAAGGAAACTCATTTGCAGTTGAAAGAAGACCTCATCGAGCACCTGTGGAACCATCATTCTGATTTATATTAGCACCTGTGGAACAACTCATATAACAAGACCTTGAACTAAAGGTTTCATAACTAAACTTATATAAGAACTAAACTTAATTTTCATGCTGCCTCTCGACAATCTTCTTCTGCATCGTCTCAAGCCATTCACGCTGGATCGGGTTGAGGGAGGACATGTCCGCTAACATAATTTCTTTTTCCTCTTTGAGTAGCTTCGCTTCGCTTTTTTTTTCTTCATTTGCCACCCTCTTCTTCTCTAGCTCTAGTGCAGCCTTCTCTAGCTCTAGTGTAGCCATGAACCTCTCCTCTTTGGCCTTCTCCTTTTCCATGTCCAAGACCTCCTTCTTTGCCATCATCTTGTCCAAAGCTTCCATGCAAGCCTCGCCACCTCCACGCCTCAAATTTTCTTTTGCCTTCTTTATCCCTTCTGGCCTTTTCGTTGGTACAGTTTCTTCAGCATCAACTTCTACGAATTGATCATTATTAGTGGCTTCTTCCTCCCTCGGCCTGAACACCTTCTGTTTTTTCTTGATTGCTTGTTTCTCTTTCTCCAGCTCAGCAAGTTCTATCATCTTCGCTTTCCACTTGTCTTCCTCCTTCAATATGGTCCAACAATGTAGAAGACCAAAAGTTTTTTTTGTCCTTGTCTAATTCCACATACAACTTTTTTGCTTCGTTAATCTGTACAGGGGAATTGTCAGTTTATATATCATTTACAAATAATCAAAGTTAAAGTAAAAACAACACATGTTACATACCTTGTCTTCGATAGTTAACCCACTTTGATTCCTACGTAGAATGGCCTCATAGGCTGAACAAAACTTGTTCACTTGAAACTGAATTGTTAGCCACCTATGCATAATGGAACTCTCTGTCCTCTCAGCTGTAGTTTTCTTGTGCTTCTCAAAGTAAGCATGAACTCTTCCCCAAAAAGTTGAACGAGATTGATTGGCACCGTTAATGGGATCTTTGCTAACATTCAACCAGCCCGAGCATACAACTTCGTCTTCCTTCCAATGAAAATTCTTTGTCCTCTTGGCTCCCTTTGTATTGCGGCTAGCTTGCACTTCGTCATGAGTATGAGTGTCTTGAGTGAATCCAAAGTTCATGTCGTCCAAACCAGCAACAGTACCATCTTCTCCATTGAGAAGAATGTCCGACAAGAAATTTCCATCTTCTCCATCCATCTTGACTAGTCTACAAAAAAATTGATGACCCACACGGTTAATGAAGTAATAAACACAGTAATTTCATAATACTATTGATGACAAACATGGTGATTTGTTTTTAACACTATGGCAATAAAATAGTGCATAGGTACATCTGTTGATTGAAAACTGTGTACAAATGAAAATAACGCTACTAGTACTTCACATGACACTATGACAGGTAGCTGTGCAAGTTCACAGAAACACAATGCCTTGATCATCAAAAGTTGTGATATGACAGGAAGCTGTGCAAGTTCACAGAAACACTATAGTTGATGGCATAGTACAGAAACAATATAATATGAACCCTACCTTGACTCTCAGATCAAGGGCACTGGCTCTAGCTATCACCACCAAATAATAACCCTAGGTCGAGGAAGAACATACCTACACCACGCAGCAGCTGTCGAAGCTTCTTTGCCAGGCCGGCGCGCGGCGACTGCGTGACTCCTCATCTGGGCGCGACTCCTCGTCTGATCGCTGGGAGTCCAGGGGCGCGCGGGGATTTATCGCCGCTACGAGTCCTGGGTCGCGCGGGAACGAGCACATGAAGTGTCCTGGCGCGCGCGGGAGAGGAGGCGGCGGAGGCCGAAATCGCGATGGCAAGTGACTTGGCCGCGCGCAAATATGCGCGTGCGGTGCTGCTCTATGCCAAGTTGCCAAAAGATAAGTCATTTGTCAAACTGTTGGAGGGTCAATTTTCTAGTTTTGCCAAAAAAAAAAGGATAGCAAATGGATTTGGCAAACTCTTGGAGGTGCTCTAAAGTGACTGGACGGGAGATTGTGGTCCGAGATGTAAGCCGTTTTCACCATTTCAAAGATGGAAAATGCTCTTGTGGAGATTATTGGTGACAGGAGTGGAGTGCCATGGAAATACTTTTTGTCTCAGTTGAGGGAACAAGACTTCTAGCTCTAAATTATGCACAGATACACTTCTTTGTATATATTTAGTTAAACTTGAGAAAAATCAGAATGACATTCTTTTTTAGCACCAAGGGAGTATAGAATACTATTTCAGCTGGTTGGGTTGGTACAAATTTGTGGTGCCCGATTCAACTAAAAGCTGATGTGCTTTAATGGGAACGGACACCAAGTTGTTTTGGGCATCAATGCCACCATATCAATGACAAGACGTTTGAAACCTCACTACTGTGGCTGCTCTCAACACCGATGGTGTTCAGAATTCACAATAGCAGCACATGACAGTTCCTAGCACATTCATAGTGGAATTTCATTGCCCATAAGGCAACAGGTGTAAAGCAGTAAAAGGTTCTAACTTCTGAAAGCTAAACCCCTTGAATACACTCCTAGTCCTAGTCCTAGGCTCAAGATTGTTTCAGACTACGAACTCGAAATCACACATCTCAAGTAAGCATAGTTGCATTGCTTGTAAGCATGATGTGATATTGTAACATAAAAATGCTAGACACTGCAAGATGCTAGACACTGCAAAATGCTATTTTTTTTTAAGTCTGATCGCACGAGTCATTATCCTCACCGACGGCTGCCCGCGTCGCCCCCACGCAGGCGACACGGGAGGCGACCCAAACTCTAGCCGCCTCTCTTCCTTCCCTCCCTCTCTCCAGCCGCGCCGTCGCCGGAGCAGGCCGCCGGCATGGCCGTGCAGCTTGCCGTGAGGGCGGCGGCGAGGCTCTTCTTCGCGGTGGAAGCTGCGACGGTCGGGGACGAGCTCGCGTCCTGGGGCTCGGTGTGGTCGCTGGGGCAGGTGGTGGCGCCGGCGTCTCCAGCGCCGGTCTGGGGCAGCCTCCTCGCTTTGGCGTCCGGATCCGGCGGTCCGGCGGCCGGATTCGCGCGGATCTCCGGCATGCCGCGCCTGGGCGGGCGCTGGGCGGCGGTGGCGGCGGCTCCTTCCAAGAAGCCGCGGATCCGCGGGTCCGGCGCCCGTGGTGGCGGCTGCGTCGCCCAGGGCCGGGTCTCTTCCTCTTCCTCGCGCTTGGTGGTGGCGTGCGCAGTAGCGGGGCGGCGGGGCGTGCCCTCGCGCGAG